TGTGCGACGGGAAACGGGATTGCCCGCGTGGCGAGGACGAACTCGGCTGCAACGATCGACGAAGTAAGTCGGTTTCATCTTTCACTCTATCTTCGAGTAGTCGTAGCAGTAGACTCGCGTGAGGATGAATATGTTGTTGCAGAGTGTCCAGAGGGCGCGTTCAGATGCGACAACGGGCAATGCCTGCCGGCGTACGAGTTTTGCAACGCTGTGGTCTCTTGCCGGGATGGAAGCGACGAGCCTAGGGACGCGTGTCGGAGGCAAGGAAGAGGGGGAAGAAACGCGATGGCGGCGTCTCGTTGCCCGTTCAGATGCGACAACGGCAGGTGTCGTTCCGACGCGATCGCCTGCAGCGGCCGCGACGGTTGCGGCGACGGTTCCGACGAGAGCCGCTGTTCCGTTTGCAGTCAGTATACAGGATGATATAATATACTTATCTGCTCGTTTTTATCCGTTCTTTTCGCGATTCGGTCCAATCTCATCCGTCGTTACGTTGTTTCAGGATGTTCGCCTTTCCCTTGAATCTTATCGAAGCGGAAACGATTTCCGGATTCGACGATACGAGAGATACGTTTACGAAGGAAGGGGAGGATATATGTATATGTATATGTATATGACGGAATTGCGATTGGAAATAAAGGAATTGAGAGAGAGAAAGAGAGAGAGAGAAAAAAAGAAAAGGGAAAAAGTGGAAATATCGATCGAAATTTTCTTCATATTGATCGAATCCTCGCATCTCGCCGTTCCTCCGTTCCGTTCCGTTCGTGTTCGTGTTCTTCGTTCCGTCGCGTCAGGCGAACGCGGAAGTTCGATTTGGCCACGTTTCGATTCGAAATTGGAGGAGGATGCGCGCATCTGCGCGAAACGTGGCAACGCGTCGGTGGGATGGGTACGCGTCGATAGTGTGTCTCGCCTCGAGCCCCGCTTTCCGAATCACGGCCACGAACGACCACGAAATCATCGCGATTTTTTCTTTCGTTCGTCGATCCATCCCCGTAAAACGTTTCGCCATCGCTTCGCCAACTTCCTTTCCGCGATCCTCGCGCGATATCGAGCGGCCAAACCCCTCGACCGAAAACCTAACCTCGCATTCGTCCGCCGTCTCGTCTCGTCTCGTTCCGTCCCGTCTCGTTTCGTTTCGTTTCGTTTCGCTGTGGCGTTGGCATACGTTTCATTTCCAAGTCGAACGCGGTCGAAACACGGTCGACGATTTTATTCGACGGTCGTCCGAATGATAGAAGGCGAGTAACGGCCGATTTTACGCCTCGTTGCTTACTCGTCAGGGATCGGATACAANGGAATCACGGCGCTCGATGATCGTGCGATCGGTCGTGGCGGTCGCGTCGAGGCGACGGTGCACGGTGCGCGGAAAAACATGGTCACGACGTGTACTGCCTCGAACGACCTTGGCCGATCGAAGAACGTGGAAGAAAACAACACGCGAAAAACAAAAAAGAAAGGACGAAACTTGTCCTCGTTCCTCGATTGCCT